TCCCACATGCCTGGGTCCCAGAATGAAGAAGGCATGGAGCACAGCTTCCTGCTGATCCAAAGTAAACCTTTGTGTGTAGGCCACTGTAGTTTGGGGGTTGTTTGTCACAGCAGTGCAACCTGAACTGTCGCAACTGGTTCTACAAGGAAGTTGCTCAAAACAGTGATTCCTCTGAGCTTTGTACCAGGGCAGCTGCCCATCGAAACAATGCTGGATACCAGTCTCAAACAGCCAAAAATGTTAGAAAGAACAGAGGAAGGAATTGCATATTACTTGCTGTTCTTGGCATCAGCAACAGCCAAGTGACCCTTCCCCTCTTCTCACATCAGCCATGTATTTGCCCAGCTTGATAGTAATGGCTGTAATAAAAACTACCACTTTTTGATCATTTATCATATACTGAACACTGCATAAAACACCTTGTGGCATATTATCTTTACAAGTCTATGTGATGAGCATTCTTGTCCCCATATTTCAGATGTGAAAACCAAGTCTCAGAGTAGCAATCTAATGTGCCCAAAGTCACAGAGCTGATTGAGCTAGAATTCAGCCTTTAGTTTGTCCGATTCCAGAACATGTGTTCTTTACCACCATAAAATAATGTCTTCCTTATACAATCCCATGAACATCACCTCCACGTGAGACACCTGCCCCCATTTGATTACAACTGCATTATCAGTCCTTCCCTAGACGCTGTCATCAGCCCTGTCCTTGCTTATGAGAGAGTTAATGGACCCTGGTTGGATAGTGTCAATGACTTGCTATCAAATCATTCTGATTTCTGGTCCCCTGAAGGCTTTGACTCTGGCTCTAATGACAATGCTTTTGTCTTGACTTCTTTGACCAGGCTTCTATCTTGTTGCCTAGATATAGAAATAGGATCCTGCCTCACACCCTTTTGTCTGAGCCCTTGCTTTAGTCCTGTGCCTATAATGTCAGCTCCTCCAAGACCAAGCACTGCTCCTACTGGTATTCCAGGGCTGGTTTCCTGCCCCGAATCACTAGTTTTGGTTGGGCATTGCTACCTCATACCAGGCCTCCTTAAACTGACCACTAAATGCTGAACCTCATCCTGTTGGCTGCTAGTTTATGTCTAAATCACCCACCCCACCCCAACTGGTTTGATCACACTGTAGCTAGTTTGGCCCCTCCCATAGCCAACTCACCCTTATCCTTATACTGACCACTAAATGCTGAACCTCATCCTGTTGGCTGCTAGTTTATGTCTAAATCACCCACCCTACCCCAACTGGTTTGATCACACTGTAGCTAGTTTGGCCCCTCCCATAGCCAACTCACCCTTACCTCTGATGGAATCCCTGCCACTGATGAGAGTTTTACCCATATTTATTTTCACAAAAAATTTTTTGGTCATCTGTCATATGCCAGTCTCATATAGACTAGGCACTGATATAAACTGGTGAAAAAAACAGACACTCTCATTTCTTACTTTCTAGTGAGAAAGTCATACAAAGGACAGGTAATTACAATAGAGTATAATATATGCTATTATAGAAGTTTCTAAATTACCCTGTCCCTACACTCACAGCTTCAAATATTTTGCTGTTCTGGATGTTTATTCATGCCAGGAGAAGTAGGTTACAGTATCACATTTCACCAGTGTGTTCTGCCACCTAACGCATGTTGTGCCCAAGCACAAGAGTAAGTTCCTTTTGTGTAATTGTCATATCTTGTTATTTATTCAGGGCCAGGTGAGAGATGATAAGTTTTGACCAGGGTATCAGTCGTTAGGATTCAAGAAATATTTAAGAGGTAGAAATGACAGGATGTGAAGGTGGGAGAGAGGAAGGAGACAAGTTGAAGAAGGAGCAGAAGTCATAGCAATTGTGTAGTTAATACAGATAAGGCAGGGCTTAAGGAAACCCATATCTACTGCTGAGCCACAGTTTAGGTCACACAGTTTAGCTGAGGAATTTGGTATTCCAGCCACAAAAAGTATCTTTAGTCATAAGCCATCTCTTATTAAGTGACTATGATTAGGATTGCCTTTGGCAAACTCATAACTAGAAGCCATAATCCACATGGTCAAGCCCCACAACAGAATCTGATCCTCTTGCAGCTGGCAGGATGTTGGAGGAAATCCTCTGTGAAGGTCCCGGAACACACATGATCACCTACTATGTGCTGTATCACTAATTTTTCCCAGCTCTACAAGCGCGCATTATAGTCCCCATCTCACAGAGGAGAAAGTGGAAGAGACTGGGAAACTTGTGGAACTTTTCCATGCTGGAATTAGAACCTTAGTCCGTTTGCCTGCCATGGTCCTTCTATTGCATTGTACTTCCTGGGACTGTCCACCAGATTTCCACAGAACACTCTGAATCCAGCATGAAGTTGTCTGCCTTGGGCACCTGGAGCTGGGTTTTTAAAAACTCATCCTTTGGAAGGGATGACAAAGAAGTGGCAGAGCCTGGGACAGAATGATGTCTTAGGGATCAGCACCAGGTGTTGGTCAGGTCAGGAAGGATCAGGTGGTAACACGAGAAGAGCGAGCACTACCTTTGACTTTGCTCCCACAGGAGTTTACTTGTTGAAAAGTACATGTTGAGTTTGGAAACCAGGCTCAGAAAGGCCCAAGTGCAGAATCTGGTTTCAATTAGTCCACCCAACATTTTAATTAATTATCACACTTTACAGCAGGCTCTGAAAGTAGAGAATGAGATACGCTGTATCTATTCCTTTGAATGAGAGGTGGTTCTATGGAGATTACAGAGCCAAGAGTTGGAGCTATTCATCTTCAAAGGGACTTGCTAACACAAACTCTCCTTCCTCAGCTTCTGAATCCACGAAGCCTCAAGTGAGAATACTTTCTATCTGTTGGAAAAGTATCCCAGTCTGTGGAATCAGTCTCTTGATAAGGCAGTAATTACTAGAGCAATTTTAGCAGGTACAAAGGCATTTTTTTAATAGTTTTAATTATTCAAAAGCCTGATTAATTATCTAGTTCACGGATCAGAGGCCAAAGGGGGATAAAACTCTATGAAAATGGTAATTATGACAGGGTGAAGGGAGAATTCAACTGCCTTCAAACAGGAAGCTGCTCTCTGTGACTCTGTGGTTATATTTGTGTGCCCTGCTGTGCTCCCAGAGGAAGGACCACTGGACTGGGTGTTAGAAGACCTGGGTTCTAGGCCTGGATCCATCACTGACCCGCTGCGTCCTTGGCTAATTCACTTGCCTTATCAAGACTCTATAAAATTAGTGGGGGTAGAGGTGGGACAGGAGGTGTAGGGGATACAGTAAATGGTCTCTGGACCTCTGTCAAGTGCTGACATTGTGTAGCTCTATGGGACTTTTTCTTGAAAGTATAGACTCCATTGAAAATTTTTCTGTGAACAATGAAAATCCAGGTAAAGTTTATGAGCATGGGAGGCCTTTGATCAGAGCTGGGGTTGGGAAGACATTGGACAGCTATGCAGGGTGGACGCGCATGAGGAGAGTCTGGTAGAGGTGGCAGAGGGTGGCATGACACATGTCAGGCCGATGAGTGTGTTCCTATATGAATGTTTGCTTTTGAGTGGAAGAAAGCTACCCCCATTTATCGAGCATTTATTGAGCACCTCACATATACCTTGGCCCTATGTGAGGTACTGCAGAGATGCAGAGTCTGCCTTCAAGGAGTTTTTCAGGACAAGGGTGCCTTGTTCAGATGGTAGCCCACTGATGGGTCTATTTGGATGACTTCAGAATATTTTGGAAGCAGAGACATTTCCCACTTTCATTGACATAATAAATCATGCCTTGAGCCTCTGTATGAACCTCCTCTGCAGACCCAGTGATGAGACCATCTCAGAGAGTGCACGTGTGCCCTGATTGGGCTTGATGGCTTTCCTCGGGGAGTAATTGCTTCACTTCCTACAGAACTGCTGACATTCACCTCTAGCTTTTAGCCAGGTTCAAGTAGTGGGTATCCTATATATGTTTCCCATATGAGAAATTTTCAGTGTTGGGACAGTTCACAAAGAGCTTCCAAATTGTTCTCTTAATGGTCCCTCCAGCAACCAGAGAATTCCTTCTTGGCTGTCTCCTAGAGCATAGCATGGTGGTTAAGGGCTAGTCTATCTGGTTCAAATCACTACTCTGCCACTCCCTGACTGTGTGACCTCAGACAAGTCACAAAACCTCTTTGTGCCTCAGTTTTCCTATATGTAAAAAAAAAAAGTATTGTTATAAACATTAAAGTGTCTTGCAATGGACTGAATGTTTGTGCCCTGACCAAAATTCATATGTTGAAACCCTAATCTTGATGTGATGGTATTTGGAGGTAGAGCCTTTGGGAGGTAATGAGGTCATAAAGGTAGAGCCTTCATGAGTGGGATTAGTGCCCTTATAAGAAGAAGCCAGAGAGCTAGCTAGCTCTCCTTCCACAATGTGAGGATACAATGAGAAGTTGGCAGTCTGCATCCCGGAAGAGGGCCCTCACCAGATCTCAACCTTGCTTGACCCCTGATAGCCTTCATGAGTGGGATTAGTGCCCTTATAAGAAGAAGCCAGAGAGCTAGCTAGCTCTCCTTCCACAATGTGAGGATACAATGAGATGTTGGCAGTCTGCATCCCGGAAGAGGGCCCTCACCAGATCTCAACCTTGCTTGACCCCTGATCCTCCAGCCTCCAAAACTATGAAAAATAAATTTCTGTTGTTTATAAGTCACCCAGTCTATGGTACTTTGTTACAGCAGCCTGAACTAAGACTTGTCTGTACATAGTAGATGTGATATGAGTACAAATGATACATAAATAATAAATAGCTATGCTACTTTGTGCAGTGTTCTTCAGTTCTATAGGT